ATTTTGTCCCTCTCCCCGGCGTGTGGTACCTCAATCCATAGTGGAAACACCTATGAGCTCTTATTCGACAAACCTAAAATCAATCGTCCTGTTGAGTGTGTTTGATGTTTCTGTATCTGCATCACCTCACCTTCAGCTCATACCTCCCCGGCGTATAGAATTTCAAACGGTGGCTTCAACATCAATCAATCTCCATATAATTGTAGAAGACTCGAAACTGCTTCAGAAGAAACCACAACGACATAACAGGATTTAAACGATACGATAAAATACAGAAGTAACAAATGGACAGGAAGAAACCAGATGAAAACTCAATTTGTGCAACATATACGTATATACAAAAAATACACAGAGTCCTGTGGACGTACCAGCTTTGAAGAATTGCAGGATTTACAGCAGTACGCCAACAACCCTTCTCAGGTTGATCACCTAAGCTGGAGAATCGTGGCAGAGTCCATTCGCTCACCTCCTTCCATCATCTGTATCCTTAACTAATGCGAATTTTCCGAATTGAAATAATTATTTTCCAAAATTGTTTCTTCAAGTTTTACCGTTATAAATCCACGATAGTTAGAATACAATGACAGGTAAAGGCGATCTAAGATAATAGGAGTAGAAATATAAGATAGCATAATTGTCTGTTGGTTCTAACTGTTATTCAATTGCGCATAAAATCTGAAGTCACATAAGGTAAAATGTATATAAATAATTAAGTAACCTGTTTGTTTTTCTACAATCAATATAAATTTAGGTTTCAGGCAGTGAGTTATATTCGGTGTTGTGAGAGAGAGAGAGATGAATAGCAACTACCGCTATACAGGAAGTTACCTGGGATTCTATGAATAAACAGTGGGGTCCACAAAGTTGGCCATGAGGACAGTTACTCGTCCGTGACGTTGGCTAACGGTTGTGCTGAGTATATATCACGAACTGGCAGAATCTGGAATTTATGGACTATTGAACCGGATCCTAGTGACCTATAGTTCTATGAGCTCGTCTTGCAGCCGGAAGGTCCTGGGTTCGAACCCCGGTGGTTGCCTACTTTGAAGAGTCCCTAAATGAGACGAAACAGCTGTCCAGTACTGCCAGGGTTTCCAACGCTTCTCCAACTGATATCAGCGCATCATCAACCCTGTAAATACGGATACTCTAAAACTTAAACAAACAAATGGGGTGAGCTGAATGCAAGCTCTAGGGATGACAAATAACAAATATAGTGTAGACAAGATAAGCTCAGTGTAAATGCAAGGGGCGACAAATACTAGTGATGATAAAGGTGTGGAGCCAACAAGGTGAAAAAGAGTTAGGATGACATTTAAGGATTCCACACTGATGCGTGTACATAATCCAGCACGATTGTACAAGGGAGAAAAGAAGGGAGTGAGAAGCTTTGTTCTAGAACATCTGACAGACTTCTGTCATTCTACCAACCTTGACCATGATTTTGAGATCATCTATCGAATTCATGCTAACTTGCTAAGTTTTCTTCTCTCTAAACTTCCAAAGAGAGAGGAGGCCTTGTGCATTCATGAATTGAAGCCAGACCTTTGTGTACAAAAGAAGTAGGTACAATTCTTATTTCAACTTTGACCGCAGAGCGATAAAAATTTATCTATTTTTCATTTTGTTTATTTAGTTAGTCTATTTAACGTTCCCTCATTGCTGCAGTTATATATATTGTTATTGCTACTATTGTTATTCTCGCCTTGAAACTGTTCCCGGTATTATTCCATTTGCTATTCTAAATCGAAGCTGTTTCCTCAACGTTATATTCTACCTTAGAAAACTTCACATCATGCTGTGAAACTCTTTTATCTGCCTACTTATCCCATATTTTTACACCCCACTTCAAACATCTTTACATCTTATGGCATTATTTGTTGTGCCACTTGATATTTAACAATGATTACTATCACATACACTTTAAATGCATTTCATAGTATTACTATTATTATTTTATGTATTCATACCTTATTCATTGTAATAAAAGTTTTCTTGTATTTCCCAATGAATGAAAAAGAAAACGATATTGTTTTTACTGACGTTTCGCTATTTAATGCAGCTATTAGAGTTATCAAAGTATTATTAAACCAAAATTTACAAAATCTCAGCATATGTATAACAACTTAATCACCGTTCTACAGTATGGGGTAATTTTTCGTTGTCAAATTGGCCTATTGGTAAAGATAACAAAACCAGAAGTAGATTGTTGGATTTGATAAGTGTGTAAAATTATAAAAACAGCGTGTGTTTACATAATGAAATTGCTTATCACAATCGGGTTGATTTTGTCACTTCATGGAGGAGGGAGGTGTTTTAACCAGGTCAAATTCTATTTTAGTCCCTCATTTCTATTCAGATAATTTGGATTACATTTGATATCAAGTACTTCTGATATTAGACGTTCTTTGTGATCTCTGAAATTTCTCTGGATTATTTCAATATTATCAAAATCAATTTTCCGGCCTGATTCTACAGCGTCAAGACCTCTGGCTGATGATTTTTCAAGCTCTTCTAGTTCAACTGGATTTCTCGGTGGTTGAACCAATGCTCTACGTCGCTCATTTCTTCTGATTTTGATTTCTCGAGATGTTTGTCCGATGAATATCGCATCACACTGCAAGCACTTTATTTAGGGATTTGTTCTTTTATATGGAGAAGATTGTTTCGCAGTGTGTCTGTTTTGAAGAAAACTCTGATGTCGAGCCCAAGTTTTACACATATATTAAAACCATATTGCCCTTACTGACATTTAACTAGTGAGAGTTGGCAGTTTTATCAAAATGATATTGGATCGGAATCTACAAAATCTCAGCTTCTTTACAGTAACTTAACCACAATTCTTCTGCATGAAGTAATTCTAGGGTTTCAAGTGGATGAATTGATGAAGATAACAACCCATGCACAGATTGTTGGATTTAAAGAGCGTATATATTTACATAGTGAATAGGCTAATCTCATTCGGCTTGATTTTATCAATGTGTTGTGGGGAAGGAGTGTCCAAGCTAGCATTGTTGAATTCTGCCTTAATCTGTCAATCTTATTCAGACAATTCAGATCCTGTTTAATGCGAACTGCTCGTGAATTTTGATATTTTTCTGAATGATTTTACCATCATGGAAATCACGGGATGTACACATTGGATCATTTCAATTATTAAAAAGATGGTTGCGGCGTAGCGGTAAATAATTCCCCAAAATTATTGACCACAGCAATCATCACTAACATGGAGCTGACCTCACTGTTTAAGTCGACTTGTTTAGCTGAAGGCTTCCGGTCAGGCATCCTCGCCATTTGGTACTCCGTCGTGTCACGTCGTGCACGATCACTAGCTAGTCAAGCACTCGATACGTTTACTATTTGGTCCCGAAATATATCACGTACTTTGGACGACTAAATCTGGTCTTTTGTTTATCTTTGGTACACGAGAAACGAATACTATAGAAGTTGTTGGAATAAGATCTTGCGTCAGTATACTCCGTACAATTCGCTAACGTCGATACCGTCAGCCTCCAAACGGTGAAGAAAATTTTCTTTTCGACGAAGTTGTCAACTAGACCGTACTTTCGTGTATTTATATTAAATGTGTGAGAAAGTGCCAGAATTATTTCCGGTTAGAGGTCAGATTAACAAAATTATTAAGTATAATTTGGTTACTGTTTTTATTTTTCTATGTCCGAACCTCCTACCCATTCCGTTAACACCACGTCCTTAATCCGTAATCATGCAAACTAACGAGTCAAATGTACAGACAAACACAAGAACAGTATGCAACGTATCAGATAGAGAACTTTGTGTACATGAAAAGGCATTACTTGAGAAAGACTAAACTTTAACATAACTCGAAAACCACTGAAAGCGATAGAAATAGCTCCCATCATGAGACCTATATTAACCCTTTTACCTGATGATGAAGCTAATGAATTGCGTCAGAAATTTGGATGTCTCCTGTAGAAACAAAAGCAGGTCATCCCAAATTTTTTCAAAAAACGAACGTCATGCATTACAAACATTAAGATCAGACAAATCTATTGTTACAGCTACAGATGACAAAAGCAATATCACTGTAATTCATAATAAAGGTGACTATGGCAAGAAAGCTTTGGAACATATCGAAGCAGGTCCATACGCACTAGTACCAATAAACAAAAGTAAAAGCACAAGTGTGTAATCTACTTAGAGAATTGAAACCAAAACTGGGTAATTCAGTTTGGTTTTCAATAGCTCCCAAACGAACACGGCCACGAGATTTTATGGAGGGCAGAAAATATACAAAATAAATGTTCCTTTAAGACCAATAATTGAAACATCAATTCAGTAACTGACACTATCAAAACACATATCATGAATACTGAAACCACTTCAATACAATATTCTTTCGAACATTAAACATATTGAGCAGTTTAAAAGGAAAGTAATGGACATAAATAACTATTGAAGAAGACGAAATTATGGCAAGTTTTGATGTGGTTTCTCTACCTACTAGTATTCCTATATGCGATTCACTTGATATTATGAAATATGAACTTGAAAATAATCAGGAAATATTGGCTTAATGTTCATTATCAATAGAAGTTGTAAAATCCTAAAAGCTTTGTTTAGAATCTACATATTTCACCTTTAAAGACAAACTATATTGTCAGAGCAATGGCGTTCCAGTGGGTTCACCAGCATCTCCAATTGGAGCAAACCTGTATATGAATGATCTAGGAAGAAAAGCGCTAACAAGTTTTAGTTGTCATCCCAGAATATGGTACAGATATGTAGATGACACATTCATCATCATGAAGAAAGATGAAAAAATAAACTTTCTAACAGAGATTAACTTAACCTCAGAATATACAGAGTTTACTAAAGCAAGTAGAATCGGCTGAGGGAACTTTAAACTTTCTTGATTGTCTTGTAAAAAGACAAACTGACGAGAAACTAAAGTTTACAATATACAGAAAACCGACACATTCCAACAAGTATTGGAATTTCCTTCAGTTCATCCAACAGGAATGAAAGTTTCAGTAGCTTTAAATCTCGTTAACAGAGTTAGACACACTATAAAAGATGATGATGATGATGATGATGATGATGATGATGATGATGATGATGATGATGATGATGATGATGATGATGATGATGATGATGATGATGATGATGATGATGATGATGATGATGATGATGATGATGATGATGATGATGATGATGATGAGGATGATGATGATGATGATGATGATGATGATGATGATGATGATGATGATGATGATGATGATGATGATGATGATGATGATGATGATGATGATGATGATGATGATGATGATGATGATGATGATGATGATGATGATGATGATGATGATGATGATGATGATGATGATGATGATGATGATGATGATGATGATGATGATGATGATGATGATGATGATGATGATGATGATGATGATGATGATGATGATGATGATGATGATGATGATGATGATGATGATGATGATGATGATGATGATGATGATGATGATGATGATGATGATGATGATGATGATGATGATGATGATGATGATGATGATGATGATGATGATGATGATGATGATGATGATGATGATGATGATGATGATGATGATGATGATGATGATGATGATGATGATGATGATGATGATGATGATGATGATGATGATGATGATGATGATGATGATGATGATGATGATGATGATGATGATGATGATGATGATGATGATGATGATGATGATGATGATGATGATGATGATGATGATGATGATGATGATGATGATGATGATGATGATGATGATGATGATGATGATGATGATGATGATGATGATGATGATGATGATGATGATGATGATGATGATGATGATGATGATGATGATGATGATGATGATGATGATGTCGGAAACAAGAAATCCGATATAAAACAGATTTTGATTGGAAATCGTTATCCGGAAAAGCTACTGGATAATATTATCAATAAAAGGGAGCATAAGGGAAAACAGAAAAATGAAAAATCTTGGCTATCGAGCATAGCCATTCCAAATCGAAAGGACACAGATGAACAACTTAAAAGACTATTTACTTTATATAATATTAAAGTCTATTTCAAGCCCTCTAATTCTCTAGAGAAATCTTTGGTGAATGTCAAAGATACGGTACTCAAAATGTCACAAAGCAATTGTGTCTATAGGATAAAGTGCTCAGAATGTGAAGCTTGCTATAAGACATATAAGCGAACAATATGGTTTTCAATTAGATCTTCTTCAGGCTTTACTCTAATTTACATAGATTTATAAATAAAAATTTCAACTAATGACGGTGATTTTGTGGATCAACTAATAACAATAATGTGGTAAATGTTTTGAACGTATTTAATAACGATGATTATAATGATAACAAAATAATGATAGTAAGTTTTGTGCAGGGGGCGATATGAATAACCAAGTTAGTAGTATGTGTATATGCAGACAATTCAATAAGTAAATTAGGTCAAATTATATGTGTCCAAACCAAGTCCACTTTCAACAGTTTTAAAAAATTTAGGAATTGGGTATATGATATTCATTATCATAATAAAGATTTTTGTATTTCCCAATGAATGAAAAACAAAACGATATTGTTTTTACTAACGTTTCGCTATTTAATGCAGCATTAGCTTTATCAAAGTATTATTAAACCAGAATTTACAAAATCTCAGCATATATGTAACAAAGAGTTAAGAGGTGAGAAAATAGACCAGTTAGGTCAAGTTAAAGGGACATATTGAAAGTCAAAATAACAATGAAGATCACCAAACCAAATAACAAAGGTAATAGTACATCTGTTATGGTATCAAAACAAAGTTTACTAACTTGATTATCGTTCGTCACTCTGGGGTCATTTTTCGTTGTCAAGTTGGTCAATTGGTAAAGATAACAAAATCAAGTGTCAAATTCTGACCTGGTTACAACAACCCCCTCCCCCATGACACTTGGTTTTTGTTTTTCATTCATTGTGAAATACAAACCTCATTATAAGTTAGAATAAGGCATTTAGAAGACAAATTTCGCGAGATGATATCGTCATTTCGTAGTTGCTTTACAACCGCTTTACAACTAACATGGTTAACAATAATAAAGATCATGACAATTACTCAGTTATACAAAAAACAGAAGTACTAATGACCAGTCATATTTAGATAGGTCATGTTGTCCATGGTAGGCGAAGATTGAAGTCTATTGTATTTTGTACACACAGTTTAGGCTATATGTGATTAATCCAAAGTGCTTCCATCACCTTCAATAACCTTGAATTAGAGTTATGTGAAATAATTGTGAAACAGTCTTTAATATTGATTTTGGGTGAGATCTGGC